GTCTTGTGTCTCCTCCCACGCTTCGGCACCAGCTCTGGCACCTGCATTTTCCCAGCGTGGCCCCACAGCTTCTCTCCCGGGCCCAGATGCCCCCAGACGGGTGTAATCACAGGGCCCTGAGGTCCCCGCAGCTGCTGAGGGGTGCTGGAGGAGGGAGGGGGGGCTACCGTGCTGTGTGGTGGCTGTAGGAACAGGCAGCTTTGCACTCCTAAACAGCGGGAGGAGGAGGGGAAGCTTAGGGAGATCTCATGGGCTTGTCCTCTTCATCATCACCATCTGCCCTGGAATGCCCCCAGACGGGTGTAATCACAGGGCCCTGAGGTCCCCGCAGCTGCTGAGGGGTGCTGGAGGAGGGAGGGGGGGCTACCGTGCTGTGTGGTGGCTGTAGGAACAGGCAGCTTTGCACTCCTAAACAGCGGGAGGAGGAGGGGAAGCTTAGGGAGATCTCATGGGCTTGTCCTCTTCATCATCACCATCTGCCCTGGAGACATCGGAGGCTGCGTCGCTCCTAAAAGGACAGAGCTTTCAAGGAAGCCATGGGCAGTAAGATCCTTGGTGATGGTAAAATGATGCTTTTAAAATGAATGGTGGATGGTGGTTTGTCCCCACTGGGGTATTCCCAGCTGGGCTTCCAGGCAGCATCTTCTGCAGGTAGAAATGGTCAGGGTGTCCTTAAAAACAGTGAAAGTACAGCCCCAACCACTGGGGAGCTGGCCTCATTTTCCTTGCCTTGGCTCGGTATCTGCCGTGTTCAAATTACACGTACAGGGAGTAAAAGAAAAGAGATTCCCCAAAAAAAGCTGAATAGGGCTGGGACTCCGGGAGGGAGTTCAGGGGAGACAGGGAAGATCCCCCTCTTGCCCAGGGAGCTTTGGGTGCGGGGGAGCCCCAGCCCTGCACACACACCTCCTGTGGCACCCCGGTTTCGGTGTCCCTGCAGCAGCTGGGCTTGGTGTAGAGGCACCGCAGGGACCGACCGGGACCGTCTGGGACCGACCCCAGGTCTCTGCTGCAGCTCCCCCCAGTAGGAACAGGCACTTTCCCTCCCCTCCCGTGCTCGCTGGCCAGCTGGGTGAAGCCCTGGACATCTCTGGAGTCTCTGGCCATGTGGTGGAGATCAGCATCGTGGTGGTCGGTGCCCTTCCTTCCTGGCGATGTGTTTCAAACCCGACTGCTCTCCCCTTGAGGATCAGCTCTTTTTTCCCTCTGGCTGGTGTCCAGCTCTTGCCAAATCTGCGTTAACCGGGCTGCAAACCCACATGCCCATCCCCGCAGTCCCCAAGGTGCTGCTGAGAGCCCTTCCCACTCCTTTTGCCTGTTGGGAAAACAAGGGGCCACTTGTTTTCAGCAGTGGCTTTGCTTTCTCCCCCTGGCAGCCAGTCCTTGGGCTGCATCATCTTCTGGGGATGAAGCTGGCTTCAGGCAGGAGCCCTGCAGGTCAGGGACCCGTGCTGGATTTGGCCCTGGAAAGCGTGCTGAGGCAAGGGGGGTCAAACTGGGTGCCCCAGCTTCTCCACTCAAGCAGGTTTTGGCCCCTCTCTTAGGGCTTGGTTGCAGCTCCAGCTTTGGGAATCTGGGGTGGGATCTGATGGTGGCACCTTCAGAGTGGTTTCCTGGGTCCTGCTGCCAGCTCAGGGTGCTGAGGCTGCTGGTGGGACACCTGGGTTGACTTTCAGCTTCGGCTTGGGAAAGCCGTGGCATTTCCCAGCACCGGGAAGCTTTCCTCCACCCTAGCAGCCCCTGGGTGGAAGAAGAGGTCCAAGTCCCCATTGTTGTGCTGAGCTTGCCCCTCTTGCAGGCGGGAGGTGGTACAAGCGGCACCTGACCTACCGGGTGGTGAACTGGCCCTCCTACTTGCCGCAGCACGAGGTGCGCCTGGCGGTGAAAGCTGCCTTTGAGCTCTGGAGCAACGTGTCCTCGCTGGTGTTTTGGGAGGCGCAAGACGGCCCAGCTGACATCCGCCTGACCTTCTTCCATGGGGACCACAACGATGGACTCAACAACGCCTTCGATGGACCAGGTGCTGGTTGCTTCCCCCTTGTAAGCTTCTCTTTTACAACACGGGCTCTTCCCTGGCAGGGAGGAGGGCTGGGGTGGTGATGGGCTGCGGATGAGGAAGGCAAGGCTCTGCTCCAGCAGTCCCTCTAACCAATGACACCTCCCAGTTTGCACCAGTTTGGTTTCTGATTTGGTGTCCACACTCCCAACTCTGCAACTGGGGTCTGCCAGTGAGGCGGTTGAGGTGCTCATTATAGGATCATGCTGATGGCCTTCAAGGAGCCCTTCCCACCCTGACTGCATCCTCCAAACCTGAGCTCATTCCTTCCAGCTGAGCCTTTCTGCATGGTGCTATCAGACACGCTCACGTTTTCTCTCTTCTTGAGCTTTTGCCTGGCACGGGTCACTGCAAAGGCTTCAGTCCCTGGCCCGAGCCCAGGGCAAGAAACCAAAGTCATAAACCACAGAGCAGATGAACCTGGCCTGTGCTCAGGAGGAGAAGGCAGAACTGGTTTAGGCTGCACCTGCTGTGGGAAGCTGCTGCTCTTGCTCAGGAGACCTCCCAAAGAGCTAAAATGGATGCATATTTAAACCAAGCAGAGCTGCATGTGCCCCCTGCCAGCCCCTCGGCTCCTGCCCCACGGTCCCTGATGGCTCTTGTGTCCCCAGGAGGTGCCCTGGCTCACGCCTTCTTCCCCCGGCGCGGAGAAGCCCACTTCGACAGCGCCGAGCGCTGGTCCCTGCGCAGTGGCAAAGGGCGCAACCTCTTCATCGTGGTGGCACACGAGGTCGGCCACACGCTGGGGCTGGAGCACTCCCCTATCAAGAGTGCCCTGATGTCTCCCTACTACAAGAAGCTCAGCAAGGATTTTGTCCTCAGCTGGGATGATATCTTGGCCATCCAGAACTTGTATGGTGAGCCTGGCTTTGCCGAGCATCTCGGTTCCTCCGGGGCTGTTCCCTGGGGTGGAGGGCGAGGAGCAGGGATAGGAGCAGGTCTCTGCAAGGGGAGAGGACTATGCAAAGGTCATGGTGGGGATGGGCCCCATCCCTTTGCGGCTGGGGAGGAAGATGTGATAGAGCATGTGGGATGGGTACCAGGTCCTCCAGGGCAGGAAAGGCTGGACTTGCTGCCTACCTGTTTGCAACGAGGGAAACGCTGGTGCATGTTTTTTGGCAGTACTAAAGGGGTCTTTGCCACCACCATATAGAGGGGGCTGGGAACCAGACAGTGGGACAAGGAACGTTTGTAGTCCTGGGACAGATCCCGAGCCCTGTGCTCACGCAGTGCTCTGGGAAAGCTGCTTCCCTGCCCCTTTTCCGCAACTCACTGCTCCCTGCTCCATCCCAGGGAAGCCCTCCAAGGGCTCGGCCGTCCAGCTCCCGGGAAAGGTCTTCACTCACTTCCAGGACTGGAGCACGGATCTTTACAGAGGGGACGAGCAGCAGAGGAGCCTCAGCGCCTATTACTGCCACTCCTTCTTCGACGCCATAGCCACTGGTGGGTGTTGGTCGGTGCAGCCCTCTCCCAAAACATGTACCCCTACACCCTGCCCCAGCGCTGCAGCAGCCTGTTTCTGCTGTGATAAGCTCCAGCGATGGGAAAGGTGGGTTTGGCTGGTCCACAGCCTCATATGTGCTCCCAGGGCTGGCGGCATCACTGCTGGGCGTTGCTGCCACAAAGTGGAGCATCTTGAGGACACAGCGATGGCTTGGTGTATTGGGAGAGGGGAAAACATCCTAAAACTTGGGCCACGGCAAGGCTTATTTGCTGCAGGAGATCAGCCGTGGAAGGCGAGCCTTGAGAGGGAGCTGTGGTCAGCTTTTACCCTCTCCAGGCTGGAGTGGAGGCTGTGAACGATGAAAGCTGGGAAGGCGGCTGAAAAGGCAGGAGGGAGCCTCCAAAATCCAAGCACCCCCAAAGCACCATGGAGTTGAACAGGGAGGAGAGGGGGACCAGGGAGGGGTGGCTGGGAGCTGGGATGCTGCTTCTCACCTCTCACCCGGGACCCGCTCACTCCTCCCTCTGCCCCGCAGATGCGGATCACAACCTCTACATCTTCAAGGGCAGCCACTTCTGGGTGGTGCCGGCGAGCGGCAATGCCAGTGACCCCCGGCCCCTGCAGACGCGCTGGCCCGGTCTCCCTGCTGGCATCGATGCCTGCGCCTGGTCCCAGCGCAGCGGCAAGTTTTACTTCTTCAAAGGTAGGTGAGGCATGGGCAGGAGAGCTCCCCTCGGGGCTGCCACCACTCCTGCCCGCTGGCGTGGCTGGCTGGGGCCCCCTCTCCTGCCTGTGTCCCCTGTCCCCTCCCACTGGTCCCATGCCAGGGCTGAGCTGGGGCATCGCTGGGTCCTGCATGTGCAAAAACCTGCAGGAACCGTGGGCTCGGTGCCTACCGTGTATTAACCATATAGAATCATAGAATCATAGAATGTTTTGGGTTGGAAGGGACCCCTAGAGGTCATCTAGTCTAACCCCATCTAGTCCATATGGCCTTGGGTGTATCACCCCAGCAGCCTGACACCCCCTTGTGCCTCGGTTTCCCCATTAGCCCATTCAGGAGAGCAGTGCTCACCTGTGTTTGGAAATAAAACCAGATGAATCAAACCCTTTGGGGTCCCTGGGAGAAAAGGCTCCCCGAAGATGTGTGGCTGCAGGGAAGCTGAGATGAGCACAGCATTTTCACCGTGCCTGCGGTTCCCTGCACAGTGCCAGGGGCTGAGCTGCTCTGGGGAGCTGAAATGCCATCCGCAAGCTGCCCGGCACCATGCCCCAGCTGGACAAGGAGAGGAAGGTCAAACCAGGCAGCCAGGCTGCCAGGGTCAGCCCCGACTTTTAATGGAAAACAGTTGCTGGCTCTTCAGAAAGGGGGCTTTGTTGCTCCGGCTGGGTGAAAGCCAAAAGCCCCTCTCCCTCCCCAGCCCTCGGCCGCTCCCTCCTTCCCCAGGGCTGGGTCAGGCCGCAGCTTGCAAGCAGAAAGGGGCTTTTGTCTGCCTGATTCATGGGGACACAGCTCTGTGGGGACGTCCGAGTGCTCAGCTCTGATTGCAGTTTCTGCTGCTGCAGTGCTGGTCTCAGTTGTCCCAGCCCTGGAGGGGTCTGGGTCCGTCTGTCCCACTTGCTGTACAGGAACAGGAGGGAGGTTTGCCAGGAAGCAGCATGGGCCCACGGACAGCATGGTGGCCTTATGTTCATGGTGGTCCCTTTCTGTGTCTTTGAGCCCCTGCACTACCATGCCTCAGTTTCCCCCCAGCCTGGTCCATGGGGCAGCCCTGTGGCGGTGCCAGTTGGGTCACCGGTGGGATGAATGCCACAGACACATCTCGAGCTGCGTGGCTGTCCCTGTCACCAAGTCCTTCCACGTCTCCTGGAGCTGGTCCTGCGATGGACCCCATTGGGGTGGGCTCTAACTCCTCTCCTTGGCTCTTCCCAGGTGGCCGATGCTGGCGCTACACGGGTTCCACCTTGGAGGCAGGTTTCCCCCAGAAATGCAGCGCCCATGGCCTCCCCCGGCACCCCGACACCGCACTCTACTTCCAGCAGCTCCGGCGCCTGGTCCTCTTCAAAGGACCCAAGTACTTTGTGGTGAGCGAGGAGACCCTCGGTGTGGAGCCCTACTACCCCCGCAGCCTGCAGGACTGGGAGGGCCTCCCCCCTGGCACGGCGGGCGCCCTCACCCACCGCGATGGCTTCATCTACTTCTTTCGGGATGACCAGTACTGGCAATTCGACCGGGCAAAGCTGCAAGTGGTGGCCACCGGCAAATGGGCCACCCAACTGCCCTGGATGGGCTGCTGGGATGCAAACAGTGGGCAGGTCCTCTTCTGAGCAGAGTGTGCAGGGATGAAACAGGGGCAGGACTGAACCCCACCTCGCTTGCTCCTGCCCGGGTCCCTCTTTATTTGGCTCTGGATTCTGGGGACGGTTCGGCAGGGACCAGCAGGTCAGGGCTGCCCATGGACGGCTGGCACCGGGGCTCGTGGAGCGGTGCCCTGGCGCAGCAGGGACACAGCCGGGACAAGAGTGGCCATCAGCCCAGGCGGGTCTGCCGCAGCCAGGTGGGCTGGAAGCTTGGGGAGGCAATATTTTTTTTCTAAAAGACCACAAAAAAAGGGTTTAAGCCGCGGAGACTGCAACCACACCCATTTCTGCAAACTTTCAGAATATCGTTACGCGTTTCTGTCAAACCGGGACTGGACTTGGTTGATATTTTAGCTGCCATTTTCCTGCGATCTGGTGGAGAAGGGTCTCGTCACTGCTTGGTTTAGGGCTCAGGTGGTTAAAACAAAAAGAAAAAAGGACATTTAGATAAAAATATGGGTCCACGTTGAGCTTTGCCCCCGCTGTGTGCACAGAGCCCCTTCCCCTCCCCTGCCTCCTCCCCTCCCTTGCCCCAGGGCACCTGGAGGAACCCGGCCCCTGCGGGTGCTTTGCTGGGCTATGTTCACATCCCAGCTCTCTGGTGAAGCACCAGCTGGAGACACCAATACTGTGGGATTTTGGGGGAGAAAGCAGAGGGGTTTGGTGTAGGAGCCTCTTTGGGGGTGAGGGGCGGGGAGAGGTACAGCTGAGCAGTCTGTCTGTGGCAGCAGGAGCATTGCAGCTTGGCTTTCTGATGGGTTTGGGATGGCTGGGTGGGTTCTCGGGTGTCTCATAAGAGTTGTGCTCACCTGGCCACCTTCCTTGTGTGCATAGAAAGTGTCTGTCCTCTGCTCTGTCTCTGCAAGAGGTGGGATCAATGTATTTTTGAGTTCCCTGTACCTCTGCCACAGTTGGATGAACTGAGTTGAAAAATTGTGGGGGGGGTGGAGGGGAAAAGAAGAGGGTGAGCAGGACAGATGGACATGTCCGTGCATGCAGGCTCATGAGGACAGCCTGGCTGCATATTCCTCATTCCTTTCCCAAAGCAGGCTCCCCACCTGGAAATGCCACTGGCTCTTGTGCACCGAGTCACCAGTCACGTCTGCAAAGGGCCACCATCATCTCCCACGGCTGGGGGGGGGGGGGGGGGG